GGGGCGCTGGTATTTCTTCACGGGTTTGGTGTTTAGGAAGTGGAAGCTATGGCCTTTTTTCCGTGGGGGGGGGAGGGTGGTGGGCGCTGGTATTTCTCATGGGTTTGGTTTGGGAAATTGAAGCTATGGGCATTTTTCCGGGGGGGGGGGGGGGGGNNTTTTCCGGGCGGGGGGGCTGGTATTTGTTCAGGTGTTTGGGAAGTCGAAGCTATGACGGGTTTGGTGTTTGGGAAGTGGAAGCTATGGTATTTTTCCGCGGCGGGGGTGGGCGCTGGTATCTCTTCGCGAGGGTTTTACGGACCGTTCCGATTCTGCAGAACTCAGACAGCAAAATTTGGGCTGGGATCTGCGTGCGAGCGCACGAATATTTAGCCACAGATAGTGTCAAGGCTTTTGGAGCCGATATAGAAACCCACGCACCCTATATGACATGCTTCAAGCAACTGGGGATAATATAGACGTGGCTTCACATGTACCGGTGCATTTGCATTTTTTCCTTCCAGAAACCGTCTCATACCAAGCCAGCAAGACAGACAATTCGGTTCAACTTAGGTTCCCTAAACTCCAAGACCCAAAATGACGAATCCTGAATCTGCCCCCGAACCTGGAAGGTGATCCCTTTCCAGAAAAAGACCCGGGCGCGGCTGGTGGGTGACCGGCTGTTGAAGCTGCGTGAGGCATGCCGCTGGGCTCTTTTTTCTTGCCTTGCATGGACATTCATTCGCAGTTCATTGCGGCAGTTACTGTTTATTACAAGTTACCGTTATCACAAGTATGGCACGTCGTAGCAATCCTAGAAGCATTGCTATTACTCCATTGCTTTCTCGAGCTGCAAGTAACAGTCTCTGCCACTATTGCTGCAGTTTGACCGACTTCAGCAATTACACATCTCGGGGGTCTGTAGCACGTGTACCTGCGATGATCATCATTACTGATCTTAGCGAACCAGCTAACGATCAAACAGGCAACCAAACAAACAAGCAAGCAAACAACAAGGCAGACAAAAACCAACCAAACAAGAACAAACAAGCAAGAAAGCAAACGAGCAAGCAAGGAAACACACAGACAAACAATCAGGAACTAATGAAGAAACAGACACAAATAGACACACCAACTATAACTAACCAACTAACCGACTATGACAAGCAAGAAAAACAAACCAACCGAGAAACGAGCCAGCCAGCCAACCAACCAACCAACGAGCGAGCTAACCACCTGAGAAACACTTCAACAAACAAAGTACTTAGATACACAACAAATACACGAATGCACACATGCACGCTCACACATATACATATATATATATATATATATGTTTATACATATATACATATACATATATGTTCATGCATATATACACACACACACACGCATGCTGCACATATATGTTTGTCTAGATACCTCTATATATATATATATATATTTACTTTCTTTATATTTATGTATACCTAATATGCGCATCCATGTGTATGTATACGTGTATATATACAGAGCGCCGTACTCGAAAAACGCGGCCCATGTTCCGACGCATATCTATATATCTGTTCATACATACGTACATACATACATACATACATACAGACAGACAGACATACAGACATACAGACATACAGACATGCATGCATACATATGTATATGTATATGTATCCGTATATGTATGCGTATATGTGTATGTATATGTATGTGTATGTGTATATGTATGTGTATGTGTATATGTATACGTATACGTGTATGTACGTGTATATTTATACGTAGGTGTATCTCTTTCGAGCTGAAGGGGGGAATGGGTTCGATGGGATGTGGCAGCCCTTGCTTACGGCCGCCCTTCCAGTGTATCTATAGACCCATGTTGATTGCCCAGAGCCCTCTCGCTTTGTCACTGCCGAGCAGGATCCTGGCCTGTACACTTACAAAGCCAGCGGAAGCCAGGGTCCTCAGACAGCCACTGATTCCTTGGGTTTGTCCTCGGTCTGACTCTGAGGCGAGTCGATGACCAAGTTGCCTCTCATCATGCGCCCTGGTCGAAGTTCATGGAAGCCGTAGTTCGCGGAGCCGGGGTGAAATTTCAGCAGAATCAGAGACTCCTAGCAGTCCGACCATCAGAGACTCTGTGAGGACGAAGGCGAAGACCGACCGCTGAACGCCGCAGCGAAGGCGTTGGCCTGGCGGCGAAAGCGTAGGTGCGCTGAAAAGCTACAACTAGTCTCTTACAGCGCTTTGGCCCCTCCATGCCACTCTCCATATCATCAAACCGTGATATAAGAGTTTGCAGACTGCGGAGGGACGAAGCTCTCGGTGCATCCGAGCACGGAGCATCCGTGCAGATTAGATCATTTCCGTGCGAAGCACGGTCGGCATGGCAAGCTCCATTCTGTCGAAGGTTTGGCTCGCGCTTGGGCTCCAACCTAAATCCTGCAAGCTTGCAACCTCTTGCAAACGCCTCACCGAAGTTTCAAACCTTTGGCTTTTGATTCTGCGGGTCCCGGCCAAGTCGGCCTGCAATTCGAATTGACAGATATTTTGCAAGATTTTCTCGCTCATGCAAAAGGTCCGATCAGCACCGAATGCCAACAGCAGGACGGGAACGGTGGCAGAGGCTAGTTACGGTATGTTCTCATGCTGGTTTCGTGACCAACTCGCATCGCGCATGTGTCAAGAGGCATCTGCAGAGTGGACATAGCGTCGTAATCCCAGGTCTGCAGCAACGCAAGCAAAGGAAACAGCAACTGCGCAAGTTGTCGCTTCAGCATGGCCGTGCCACAGCTTTGTATACATTGATGATCTCGCAATGGAGCTGCAAACCTTCCGACAGGGAATGCTGGAGTTGTTCTGTGTTTTTGTTGCGAGCCATGTACTGGTTGCTGCCACCGAAACATGCCAGATCTGCGATCCAAAAAACAACTGCTCTTGTTCCCTATGTCCTGTCATTCTCCTTGATGGGTCGCCATGGAAGTGGCATCTCCACAGGCGGCACCTCTGCGAAGGGCTCAGACGACTTGCGGTGGATTCCTGCATTACGTGGTCTGTCTTTTCTGTTAAATGGCCTGCAGGTCACCGTCGGCATTGCTATGGTGCTACATGTGCTTGAAAGTGTTTGTATTGTTGCTGCGATATCATGTCTGCGACGATCTTTGCAGTGCTGGTGTTGCTATAGGACCAGGACCAGGACGAGAACTCTGCGACTGTTACTGCTACTGCAGCCACGACGACCACTGTTGCAACGACGACTAAAACTTCGGTAATACTCCGATGTCGACTACGGCGGTTACTCTCGCTGCTGCAAGCACGGCTACCGCTGCCAGCACTGCTGTGATCATACTCGCTACCAGTAGTTGTACTACTGCACGACGACCACGACTTCCAAAACCGTTGCTACTACTCCTACTACCACGTGATGTTAACACAATCTGGAGCTGTTTAACCGCCATCGCCTCTGTTTCTGTTTACTGGTTCCCATCGCAGAGACAACGCCAGGGTTCTATTTTCAGGCCCTTCCACTCCCTCTGCGATAGCTCGTGCGAGGCCCGCACAGCCGGCGGAGGCGCCACGGCCGGCAACCCCTGCCAGGGCACGGAGCTCAGAACATCTCAGTTTACACCATCTCTTCGGATAGACGACGTAGTGATTTGTGAGTATCTTGAATTGCACTTTTGACGATCACTCTGCTCGTTTCTGAGCCTTTGTATCAGATGATGCCAATAATTTCATGGCATCGACTCTGGTGGTGCTGCTGCTGCTGCTGCTGCTGCTGCTGCTGCTGCTGCTGCTGCTGCTGCTGCTGCCGAGAGCGATGTTGGTATTGATGCTGTGATGCTGGTGATGATGATGATGATGGCAATGACCACGGCTATGGTTGTGGCTGAAGCGGTTGTTGTCAGCATGGTGAAGAATAATACCGGGATGATGATGATGATGATGATGATGATGATGGTGTTGAATCTGATGGCGACTGGTTTCGAAGATGTGGACGACGAGATGACTTAATTTTCGGCGGCCATGTCGGTAGATAGCCTG